TTTTGTTTGCATTTATTGGTTCTGTCATTACATTTACTGTTATGTTAATTCAATTGTTAAACTAGTATTATTTCAATTATCTCAAAGCATATTACTAAATGTATGAGCTAAAACGGCAATAAAATTGAATTCATTATTATTTAACTTATTATTATACATGTTATTTTATAGTGTATAAGTTATAGCATTTAAAATGTTAATAAATGTTTTATTTGATGCAATTAATTTTATTTGGGACTAAAATATACATTAAAACACGAGTTAAAAACATATAGAAATCAATAAATTAATGTGTGTTTTATATGAAAAAACTAATAATACTTTTATTAAATTATCTATGTATTGGTGATTTTCTGGTTTTCTCTAATTCATATTATCTACAGTCCGGCCCCGAATTTGGCATGTCATTGGTGCTGTCAAAAAGATGTGCCAAAATTGGGTTCTGCTAAAATCGGGTTCATTAGCAGTGCTAATATGACTCGCTGGTGCTAACAAAACCTTATGCTAAAATTGAATTCTGCTAAAATCGCGTGTGCCAAAATCGGGGCCGTTCTGTATTTATCTAATATTATCTAAAAATACTGCAATTTCTTGATTAAACAAATTGTTAAATGAGAGAAACAATTAAGCGTTGAAAACAATGCTTTCAACCAATTGTGGAAACTTTGCGATTCTGTTATCCCTTTTAATTCTGTCCGCAATTATAGCCAGTCTTTCGTGTAATTCCTTATCGTTTAAGAGCCGATCGATTGCCGCCAAGAGTTGCCCTGAAGTGCACTTATAGGCGTCCAGACGTACACCGAAACCGAGTTCGTCCACCCGTTGGGCGTTATTATACTGATCCAAGTTTAGGGGCAATACTATCATCGGTTTTCCGGCGGCGAACCCCTCGCAAAACGTGTTATTACCACCATGGGTGATTATCAGGTCCACGAGTGGTACGATCTGCTGCTGTGGCAGATATTTCTGGCCATACATGTTGTCCGGCAGTTCATAGGTGTCGTGTTTGGGTCCTTTCGATACAATGAACCGGTGCTTAGATTTAGATAAAATACTCACTAATCTCTTCATATTGTGGACATCTGTGGCCCCCATAGAGCCCAACGAAAAGTATACCAACTTTCCCTGTCTGTCCGCCAACGGCTTCGGTATCTCAAACACAGTCTGATCGCCACCTGAGCTCATAAAGTGGTCGAACCGATAGTTTTTGGGCGGATTTGGACGCATCTCCTGATAGTCCAACTCAATTGGGAACTGATATACGTTTAGATACGGCGACGGCTTAAAGAAGTGTCCGAATAGCAGCGGTTCGCAGCCTTTGGACACATAGTATGCGTTAAACTTTTGCCAAACGTCATTTGTGGCAGCGAAGTAGGCCTCGGTGTAGGCATTCCACTCGCTTTGGTCTCCCAGTGCTGGATATCCTGAGATTTTTATGATTGTTAAATTTTTTAACCACAATTTATATATGAAAAATGTGGTTTATAAAATCGTTTGCCCCCCACCCGAAAAATAGATGCTTTAGACATCATGTTAAATTTAAGCTTATTTTTGAGCAAAATCCTGAAATATGTCTCAAGTTATTTTTGCCCCTGTTTATGAATTTGAAATTAAAACTCTTGCCCTGCATGTAGATTTTGGTTAAAATATTTCTAATACAAAAACTAAAGTTGCAGTACAAAGATTGTGGTTTAAGTTTTTTACGTGGGAATAAAAAATAACGACATTTATATAGTCAAACTTCTGTACTGTCAACTTCTCTATGTTATTAACAAAATCACAAGTATCCACCTCATAGACATAGATATATCTCTATGTTATAAACTAATCTATGTTATTAACTAACTTCGCTGTAACCGTTTGGTTGATAACATAGATGTTTAACTGTAAAGCATTCAAACAAACATAAATAACGAACCTGAACCGGCGGGTGGGGTGCGGGCGTCGCGTATGTGATTCAAGGGATTACACGAGTCAACGAAAATCCAGGGCAGACCCGACCGTTCAATCGACGGCATCGCCAGCAATAAATCGACAACAATAACGTCGGGCTTGACGTCGCGTATGGTTTGTTTAATTAGTGCGTCCATTTTGGACGCCTCTGTCACCCATAAGGGCATAAATTGGTTACAATAGGCGAGCATTTTATCTTGGGGGCCACTATCGGACAATAGACCTTGCTGCAATTGTATATCGCCATGAAAACTAGCAGGTTCTAAGCTAGATTCTTTTGATTCATTTTGGGTGCTATAAAATATTGCCGTAGAGTTCGGGTGCTTTGTGTCCAACAATGCGCGCCATCGGTCTGTCAGTAGAAACGCGGTTCGATGTCCGGCAGTGAGCAGTGTCTCCGCCAGCCCTACCGCGGAGTTCACGTGTCCCACGGCGTCGAACGGTATGAACAGTGCAGTTAGCTGTCGGCTAAGCTCTTGATCGTTTGCGCTAAAGGTATCCATTGCTTTAATTAACACGTATTTTCTACAATAAATTTTGTCAAAGATTATTTTTACTTTATATATTATAAATAAGCATAATGAATTGAATTGCACATGGCAAATTTGCATAGATGACATACTCTATTGACAATGGTGACTTTAATAAATAAGCTTGATTGTTTTTGCTGTGATTATGATTAATCATTTTTATATCTCTTGGTAAGTAAACAATTTTAATAAATGTTACGTCCTTAAAACTGTTTATTCGAATTAATGACCAGGGACATCACTACTACAACGACTAAATATTTTTTAAGAATAATATTGACTATCGCGACAATTTAATATAATATAATCTACATGCGAGCATAATAGAATAGCATCTATAGAATAGCATAATATAATCTAGTCAATACATTAATTTATAATTTTTAAATTTGCATATTAAATGAATCACCTCATAGACTATAACATAGGCTTAACATGGGCAATGCTAAACTTATGACTAGCGTTCGGCAAAGGGTAAAGATAATAGCGGGAAAGCACAATAAAGGGTACGAAAATAAATTCAATATTTCTAAACTAATAATTTATTGAAAAATCAAATATGTAAAAAAATAAGTTATATTTATACAAATAATTAACAAAAAACATTATTATTGTAATTGTTTATTATGAATAATATTATCAATGATTGCTTTTATGTTATTTGATAATTGTATTCTGAGAATATAACGTTTTCTAATATTATTGGTGATATTCATTCTGCTTTAACAATAATTTTACCCTTAGACTTATTAGGTTAACATAATTGTGTTTGTTGTGTGAATTATTCATTTAATTATTTATATATTAAATAATGTTAAAAGATTTAATGTTATTTTTATTAAAGTGTCTTTAAATAATTTAATTAATTAATAATTTTTAATATAAGAAAATAATTATTCAATAAACTGTAGTTAATTCCAGTACTTTAGTTGCAAAACCATTAATAAAAATAGTAATTAATTTATAGAATTAATATTGAATTTAATAAAAGTTTGCTAGATCATTTATATCTCCGTATTATTATAATGACAATAACTATTATCATGATAATCACTGTTTTTAATCTATCATTGGAAAATTAATCCCTTGGAACTTAATTGTCATAATCCAAGTGTGTTTACTGAAGTGTGTCAGATTCATTTAGTAAACACTTTATTATTTAAATAAATTAACGTGTACTATTATTGTCAATCCAATAAGTATATAAGTAGCGTTATTTGGTAACAACTATAGCATCGTTACAATAAGAGTTTTTAATATTTTTTGTGATATAATGATTGAATTAATGTATTTGTTGTCAGTTTTAATAGCAATTGTAGCGCTAATAGTAACGTAAGTATAACTTATTTCTGATGAATAAACAGACCATTTATTTCTATATACTAAAGAGAAGTATAAATAAATTATCCAACTTAGGGGTGATTCACAAAGTGCGTTCGCACTTTTAAAAAATCTAGACCCCTTCCCCCCTAATATTCAAAATAGCAATTACAAAATTTTGAACAAGTGTCTAGCTCCCACTATGAACAATCAACATAATTTATTTAATACCTAGTTATCTAAAACACCGGTACACGTATTGGGCCCGACATGGGGTCAAAGGACCTAATTATGTGTCCGTTCGGGCGTTGCGTCAAAAATTTGTTGACATCTCATCGGAGAAGAGCAGAAAATACGGCCGACTCTACGGCTCCTATATGTTCACCAATAAGTGGCTCACAATCAACGAACCGGAGCTCATCAGAGATATCGCTGTCAAGGATTTCCACGTATTTCCCAACAAATATGACATGAATTACGGCAAAACATACATCACTTCCTCGTTATTCCTGATGAAAGGCGACCACAACTGGAGACGTGTCCGCTCTGTCGTCACCCCTGCTTTCACTAAAGGAAAGTTGACATCAATGATGGCCAGCATTGAAGGAATCGCCGACAAGTTAGCGCTCACTTTGGATACGTTTGCCAAAAATGGTATATTTTTTGATTTAGATATATTGAACATTATTAATCATAATATTCAAATTTGTTATATCAACTAAATTAATCATGCGTGAATTATTTTGTAGGCGAAACAATTGATATGTGCAACTATTTTAGCGCTTTCGCGATAGATGTGATCAGTGCCTGCGCTTATGGTATAAATGTTGAGTCCATTAATAATCCCAATCATCCCATTGTTGTCAACGCCAGGAAAGTACTGTCTGTGGACTCGAGCCTGAGTTACGCCGTATCAGCACTTTTGCCACCGATTGGCCGACTCTTACGTCTGGAACCGTTTGACACAAACGCTATTAAATTCTTTGATTCGTTGGTCAAAGAGATAGTAAATGAACGCAAGATATCGACAAATGAGGGTTAATTAAAATTATGTTTTAATAGTTCTTTATAATTACTAATTAGTAATTATTAATTAGTAATTAACACAATATAAAGTTAATTCAATTAACACAATAAAATATAATATGAGTTATTTATTAATTCTTAGGCAAAAAGAGATCAGATTTTATACAATTAATGATTGATAGCGAGAGGAATGACAGAGACTTTGATTGGAATAACAATAATGAAAATAAGATACAAATATCGGGTGAAAATGCAAACAAAAAGACAATAAAAGCTTTAAGTGAGACTGAGTTAACGGCTCAGGGCTTTACGTTTTTCATCGCCGGTTACGACACGACCAGCGCTTCGCTCTCTCATGTCGTCTATTATTTGTCTCAAAACAAAGACAAACAACAGATTCTGAGGGAAGAACTCAACGCTTTGGACACAGACTTCACGTATGAAAACCTAAACCAATGCCAGTATTTAAATGCAGTCATCGATGAGACCCTTAGACTCGCGCCCCCTTTGGCTAGTGTTCAACGGGAATGCGTTCGCGACTATAAATTGGAAAATACCGGTAAGATTAGAAACATTTTAATGGTCTACTTCCATTTGATCTACCTACATATTTTACTTTCTTATTCAATTAATTACTAAAAATTATTTCCCCTAAGCTTACCATATCGTTTCGATTGTTATCACTTTGATTTTTGTAATTATTTCAATAGGAATTATAATTCCGGCAGGCACATTTGTAGAATTCCAGCCTTATGTTATACACAGAGACCCTGAATTATTTTCCGACCCTGATCAATTCAAACCCGAAAGGTTTCTCAACCCCACACACCACCCGTACGCGTACATACCCTTTGGGTGCGGCCCTCGACTGTGCGTTGGTATGAGGTTTGGCTTAAATATGATGCGAATGTGTATCGCAAAGATTGTACACAAGTTTGAGTTCACACTCGCGCCCGGATTTGAGGTGAGAGTTCATGATTTTGATTGATATTTGTTCTAGGTTGCTTTTAATTCCACTACATTCATATATTGATTATTACTTTGCAGATTGATTATTTCACTGGATCTGTACTTTTAATCCCAAAACATGTAATGATCACGATTAAAAATCGTAATAATTGAAAACGCACGATTCTAAAACCTTAAATTAAAATTACTAGTTTAAAATTATAGATTTAAATTATCAATATGATAAATAGTCTAGAAAACTATTTAATCACAATTAAAACAAAAATTTAATAAGTTGACCTTCACGTATTGTTTCTCAATTATTAATGACAAAATTTAATTTTCAATAAATTGATATTATGATTAAAATGTGGTCACTTTTTCAGTCTTATAAAAAGGTTGAACAGCTCTACTAATAACGTAAAATTAATTTATTATAATTTGTAAAATTTTCACAAAAACATAATAATAAATAAATTTTAGCCGTTCTGTTGTGTCTTTTTTATAATATTTTTTAGTAATAACTAGTGATTGAAAACTTCAAATTCTGTGTTTCAGAGCCGTGTCGGAGCCTGTGCTACAATAATGCAATACAAACGTGAAAAACACCAAATATATCATTGAATTTCAATTGTTTAATATAACATATCAATTAAACATTTAAATACATAATTATGCTTTTCTTCCGAATTCATTTATTGTTATGTATAAATATTAAACCATTAATTAATATCTGAGATTTTGTTTCGATTAGTTACTGCAAATAGTTTTACTAATATTACAGTAGTTATTCAATTGCATTACACTAATTAATTGATAATTATCTTGGTTAAAATAATTAATAAATCAGTTAACGGTTTATTCATTAAATACAATGCTTTCAACCAATTGTGGAAACTTTGCAATTCTGTTATCCCTTTTAATTCTGTCCGCAATTATAGCCAGTCTTTCGTGTAATTCCTTATCGTTTAAGAGCCGATCGATTGCCGCTAAGAGTTGCTCTGAAGTGCACTTATAGGCGTCCAGACGTACACCGAAACCGAGTTCGTTCACCCGTTGAGCGTTAGTGTATTGATCGCCGTTTAGGGGCAATACTATCATCGGTTTCCCGGCGGCGAAGCCCTCACACACCGTATTATTACCACCATGGGTGATTAGCAGGTCCACGAGTGGTACAATCTGCTGCTGTGGCAGATATTTGTGGACATACATGTTGTCCGGCAGTTCATAGGTGTCGTGTTTGGGTCCTTTCGATACAATGAACCGGTGCTTAGATTTAGACAAAATACTCACTAATCTCTTCATATTGTGGACATCTGTGGCCCCCATTGAGCCCAACGAAAAGTATACCAACTTTCCCGGTCTGTCCGCCAATGACTTCGGTATTTTAAACACAGGTTTGTCGCCACCTGTGCTCATAAAATAGTCGAACCGGTAGTGTTTGGGCGGATTTAGACGCATCTCCTGATAGTCCAACTCAATTGGGAACTGATATACGTTTAGATACGGCGACGGCTTAAAGAGTTGTCCGATTGGCAGCGGTTCGCAGCCTTTTGACACATAATATGTGTTAAACTCTTGCCAAACATCACTTATGGCCGCAACGAATGCCTCTCTGTATGCTTTCCACTCGCTTTGGTCGCCGAGTGCTGGATATCCTGTTCATTGTAATGGTGTTGACATTATAAAGAGAGTTAGGATTAAATTTTTGATTAGAATTATAAAGAAAGAATCAAGCAAAACTATAAAGTTAACCATGATCATGCAAGAATGAATAATCTTGCTAAAATAAAAATTAGAAACTATTGAAAAACCATATTCAATTATCAATCATACTAAGTTATAGTATTAATATAATCAACAACTCGGAGAACACGCGGTCTAAAAGTTACATATATAGGGGTGAATAGCGGGTTGAGTTCTACTTTTAAAAGTTACATATATATAATATTTGAAGGTATTATAATGGGTATAGATGATATTATATGGGTGAATGACCTAGTTTGCGACGGACTGTTGCAATTATTAGCAATGAAATATTTGAAACAGGTTTAGTGCATTACCAGAGCTGTTATTCCAAAGACTGTTGCATTTAATATACGACCCCCCATTTACAATGTATAATTTCTATACGGTTTACACAATTGTGTAAATTTAAACAGTGATGATCAGTGATAACCGTTGCTGCATCGCTGTGAGCACCTGCACCTTGTTTTGCTAATATAGATAAACTAAAAACAAGGCAAACCTGAATCGACGGGAGGGGTGCGGGCGTCGCGTATGCCAACCAAAGGATTGCACGCATTGACCGAAACCCAGGGCACAGCCGACCGCTCGACCGACGGCAGAGCGAGCGAGCAGTCGACCAAAATAATGCCGGGCCTAACATCGCGTACGGTTTGTTCAATGAGAGCGTCCAGTTTGGGCACCTGTGGCGCCCAAAAAGGCAGTATGTGTTTAGTTCTGGCGAGCATTTTGTCCATCGGCCCGCTGTCGGCCAGTTGGCCATGCTGCAATTGTAGCTCGCCGTGAAACTGAGCAGGCTCCTTTGCCGATTCTGGCCGTTGAAGTTGACTGCCGTAGAATATGGCTCTGGTGTTCGGGTGAGTTGTGTCCAACAGTTGCCGCCATCGGTCTGACAGTAGAAATACTGTTTGGTGTCCGGCAGTGAGTAGTGTCTCCGATAGGGCTACCAATGGATTCACGTGTCCCACGGCGTTAAACGGGATGAACAGCACAGTTAGCCTACGAATTGACATTTTATATTGAGTTAACAAATAAAGATTTTTATAAAGCAATATTTTTTTTAATGCACCTTAGATTTCTATGTGTTGTTATATTTATACTAAAATATTAATTTTACTTTACAAATGATACGTGGAGTTTAAATACAAGTACAGTTCGTAAACCACGTTAGCTGTTCCTATCTATACTCCAGTTTTAAGTACTTCAGTTTGAAGTATAGTGGAAACATGGCCTTACCTACTCTTATTTTCTATCTCCCTCTATAGTTTTCACTACCCTCCCACCCCTTAATATATGTAACTCAGTTAAGTGTACTGTATACTGTATATGATTATACATTTTTTAACAATACCATTATATGACTTTTTAAAATTTTTAACTAATGAAAACAAAATCATTTGCATTAATATAAATGTAATATTTACATATTATAATACGTCATATTATTATCTAATAGTTCAAAAAAAACTTGTCGCCTCAAGAATCGTTATATCTTCCGAACGGAATGAGCTAGATCAAATCTGTAAACTGTAAAATGATGGTCCACATATCTAGTTTTTTCTGACAAAAAATTATTAAAATCACGTGATTAGAACATAGAAATTTTTGGGTCATTTCAAAATGCTATGGTTTTAGCCCAGTTGGAAGGGGGGTTGGAAGGGGGCGGGTATGCTATTTGGAAGAGGAGATGTCAAAGTATATTATAGCAAAGTTTGATAAACATCGAATAAATATTTTTTCGTAACGAACAAAATGTTCAACAAATTTGACACAATATTTGGCCAAAAATCGCCCAATTTTGACCTTTTTATACTACATTTTAGTAGTTATAAAAGGTCGACTNGCAAAGTTTGATAAACATCGAATAAATATTTTTTCGTAACGAACAAAATGAAGTTGTTTAAACTGTGTTATAAACCGGTTTTTAGCGGGTTAAAACTGGAAAAATATGATGTAAAATCATCAATATTTTCCAGCTGAAGTCTTGGTAAAAAGGGGTATCTGGATTACAATTATTTTATGACAATTTCTCGTAAATGGCTGGACTAATCTTAGTCAAACTTTCCTATAATATACTTTCACATCTCCTCTTCCAAATAGCATACTCGCCTCCTTCCGACCCCCCTTTCAACTGGGCTAAAACCATAGCATTTCGAAATGACCCAAAAATTTCCATGTTCTAGTCACGTGATTTTAATAATTTTTTAATACAAAAAACTAGATATGTGGACCATCATTTTACAGTTTACAGAATTGATCTAGCTCATTCCGTTTAAGAGATATAACGATTCTTGAGGCGACAAGTTTTTTTGAACGGCTTAATAATATGATGGTATACTATTATAATATAATACTATTATTAATGCAATAATTTTATGTTAATAACAATTATTATTAAAATCAATATTTAAAAATTTAAAGCTTAAAATTTTCCATTGTCATCATATTTACTAAACTAAACTTGCTGATCATCATTTGACGTAAACTTACATTTCATAATGTAGCAACTTTAAAAAATAATTAACTGTACACTTATAAAGTTAAAGCAACTTCTTTTAGGGAGACTTGTTTTTATAAGAAATATCTCTACATTGGAAACGGATTTATTAAAATTTAGACAAAATTAGCACAAAATAAGACCTATCATAGATTTTACAAAATAATACTAACTATAATAAAAGCATAATTGGACATTTAAAACTGACCTGTGAGAATTAACAACAATATTTATATTCTAAATTACTTTAACTTAATACAAATTGAAATATTAAATTAGGGAGATTTAAATGACAAAGTAATAACTATAATCTACATTAATCGTGTTTATATACAAACCTCTGGTTACAAATAAACACTGGTTATAAATCTATGAATTTATGAAAACCTAAATCAATGCCTATATTTAAATGCAGTCATTGATGAGACCCTTAGACTCGCATCTAGGCTGACCAGATGTCCTTTTTCAGAGGAATTTTCTCTATTTGGACTTCATTTGAGCACTCTCCTCTGAAATTCCACTTTTTTAGAAAAAATTACAAATAATTACAAAAAATCACTCAAATCTGCAATAAAATCAATGTAAAAAGTTGTATCCTCTTTTATCCTCTATTATTGCTAAAGATTTAGTAAAATTTATTCTTTTTCTGAAATTGAATCTGGTCACTCTACTCGCACCCGCTTTGGGTAGTGTTCAACGGGAATGCGTTCGCGACTAACAAACTGGGAAATAGTAGTATAAAACATACAATGTTTAAAACGTTTAAAAACTTTATTATCCTTATAAAAACCTTGTTA